TTCAGAAGGAACCCAAGAAAGGCCACACCATAAAAGTAGGGCTACTCTAAACGTGCCCTAACAAAGTCGAACCATAAACTCTGAAAGGACCAATCTGATTTGCCGGTAAATTATCTAACTGCCTGAATAAAGCCTCACATTCTCTGAAGCATGCATTGTCAACAGGAGCAATATCATGTCCACAGAGGCAAAAATTAGTTCTTGGGAGTATGATGAATCTTAAGACATTAAAAGATGTGTGGCCCTCCAAGGAGCCATAGTACATAAGAGATGTACAGATACAGAATATCTGTGGTATTAAAATTTCATGGGGGAAGGAGTGGGATGATTAGGAAAAACATGTCTAAAAAGTATCCTTAGAGAAGTGATAATGAAAAAAAAGGTTGAGATATACTGTTCTAAAAAATAGTAATAAAATATAGGCTTTATAACAACATAGAGGCCATAACAGCAAGTATAATAAAATGATTAGCCATGTGAAGAAGCAATGGTACAGGTTAGAATACCTAGAAATTGACCTGGATTTTATTCAGCAGACAATGAGGACTCTGGGATTTTGTGTAATGGCATGACATAAACAGATCAGTGTATTCGGAAGATAATTATGGAGTATGTAGAGGGTTTTCAATGACACAAGAACAGAATTAGGAAATCATACTACAATTATACAGATAGAGAAACCATGAAGGCTTCCAGTAGTAGAGATATTTAGGTGGTAGATCTGCTAATTCTCAGTGACGCAGTGGATGTACAAGGTTGAAAAATTAATGATAACTCTGAAGTAACCAGTACTTGTTCAATCTGAGTGTGTTTAAAAGACTCTGGGATAAATAGTAAGAAATATAAACCCGGAGCTACCAAGAGGTCTGGGCTACAAATACCAGTCGGTATAGATGCAGCCATGGAAGGAACAGGAAAGATGATAACACACAGAGGAGGTGTTGGGAGGAAGTAGTGAGGAAGCCTGAAGGATCCAGGCATCCAAAGGGTAAGCAGAGGAGAACGACGGGCTAGGGAAAGAAAGCAAGTGGACAAATGAGTCAAAGAAAATAGTATTGAGTTGTCCTCTGCCCCTTCCCATGGGCATAAACGCTCCCTCGAAGTCTTGCTATTACAAGGGGAACAGGAGAATGGCTTCAACCGCAATAAACACAGAGCTGAAGAACCATCTCTGCTAGTCTTTCTTGAAATTCAGTATTTCTAGGTATGGTATGTCAGCATACAAAAGCTATCAAGTATCTTTAAATAGATATTCTCCATTCATTTAAAAAAAGGATTAAATCTATAAAAGAAATAATAATTTAAAAAGGGAGTTATGTCAATATTTTCTACACTCTATTCAAATATATCATGTGAGGTGGTGTGGTAAAATGAAGAAAGCTGTAAAACAGGAATTGAAGGACCATTCACTTCTCAAAGTCCTCCGGTGACTTTTCATCAACCCAGAATAAAAGCCAAGGTCTTTACCACTGCCTACAATGCCATCACAGATCTTTCCTCTGCTTGCTCTGCAACCACACACGTTTCTTCCTCTCTCACTTAAACCTCAGAGAACACCGGAGCAAAAATGGCCACAATCACCCTGCTGGTCACTCTCTATTCATTTATTCACTTTACTTTATGTAATGTATCTCTACCTGAAATTATACTATGTATGTATTTGTTTGCTGTCTTCCCTACTAGACTTTTCCCCCGCTATAATTTAAACTATATGACAACGAGAACTTTATCTTGTTCACCACTGCTGCATTCTAGCACCCAGGACAGTGCCTGACACACCATAGTACTCAAGAAACTCTCGTTGAATGAAATCTGTAATTAATCTAAGCTTCTTTGTTCTATCATGTGTAAATGAGCATAGTAATCCATATCTGCTCTGTCTATTCTTCACACAATGAAATGAAATAATGTATGTTAAAGTAATTTACAAACTGTAAATCACTATTCAATAGAAGTAGAGGTGGTGAAAGATGTTTCCTAACATGGTAGAAGAAAGCTGTGGTAGCAAATATACATATAAATACATGAATTGTTAATGACAGTCTATATCAAGCAAGTCCAACCCATGGCCAGCAGGCTGCAGGCAGCCCAGGATGGCTTTTTGTGGCCCAACACAAATTCATAAACTTTCTTAAAACATTATGAGGTTTTTTGCGATTTTTTTTTTTTGTTAGCTCATCAGCTATCATCAGTGTTAGGATATTTTATGTGTAGCCCAAGACAATTCTTCTTCCAATGTGGCCCAGGTAAGCTAAAAAATTGGACATCCCTGGCCTAGAGAATAAATTTTTAGTTTCATAGTTATTGGTTCCATTTTTCTTTATAATAGAAAATATAGCCTGAAAGGAACACTTATCCAAGTATACAATTTCCAGATACCTAAAGGACTTCACCCAGTATTGTACTCTTTGGGAAACAAGAAAGACTAAAGATTGGGTTAGCTGACTTACAAACCACAGAAATAATTTAACTTCTGAAAAAAAAAAATTAAGAATAAAAGATTAAAACTGACCTAAACATTACAAACTGAATTGTGTCTCATAAATTCCTATGTTGAAGTCCTGATTCCCATACTGAGAATGTGTCTCTGGAGATAGGGTCTTCAAAGAGGTGATTACATTAAGATGATGTCATTCATGTGGGCCTTAATTCAATAGGACTGATGTCTTGTATGAGGAAACTGGGACATGGAAACGTGCAGAGGGAAGACATACGAAGACACGGGGAGAAGCCACCTAAAGATCAAGGAGAGAGGCCTCGAAAGGAACCACACCTGCCAACACCTTGAACTCCAACTTCCAGTTTCCAGAATTGTGAGAAAACAAATTTCTGTTGTTTAAGCCACCCAGTCTGTGGTACTTTGTTGTCGCAGCCCTAGCAAATTCATATCCTTTGTTTTTCTAGAACCCATAAGAAAAATCTTTAGAAAAGAGTTCCCTTTAAAAAAAAAAAAAATTTCCCAAAAAAGTTTCATTTTTTAAGCAAGCTAAAATAATCTTTATAAACATGTTATTTTGCTTTCATCATTTATACTGAAACTTTAACTTCAGTTAGAATTTTCTCAGTATATATCTGAGTTGTTCTTAAACCAATTTTCTCACTATATTTCATATTTTTACTGAGAAAAACTAGCCTTTCACAAAGCAGTTGGAGAAAATTTTACATAGTACAGAGCACAGACTTAGGCATATACATTTATTTTATCAATTTGGGCTCATCATGAGTTTTAATTTGTTTTTTTTAATTAATAGGAGCACAGTCTAAAAGGTATCAGAGTTATAGATGTGATCCACCTCAACTTCTCAGGGCAACAGCCACTCAAACACAAACCAAGCATGCATAACTGCAAATCACCCTATTTTCAGACTCTGGGAGGGATTTCTACCAGGTCCATTGATGTTGGTCTTACAGTGGAAAAGTATACGGTAGCCTAGAAGGTGTAACCTCCAAAAAGCAAAACACCTAAGGCAAGAACTGAGGCGGAAAGATCCTTACACATTCTTGACTTTCCTTGTGAATTTGGGCCCCAGATTCAGAAACACAGCTGATTCATCACCCAACACACGACTTTTGTTGCTCATAGGTAAGAGTCAGATCTTTCCTCCCCTGTATCTTTCTTTTTTTAAATGTGAGTCATATGAAATTTCATTAAGTTGCTGAAAACCTAATTTCCTGTGCCCGCCTACAAGAACCGTTAGTTGTTATTGTGTTAACTTCTTTGTCCTTTTATCATTGGCGGGGTTTTAAAAATATTTTTTATCTACATCTTTTTATTTTTAATTGCAGTAAAGTCACATAACATAAAATTGACCATCTTAACCATTTTTAAGTGTATGGTTCAGTGGTGTTAAATACATTCACATTGTTGAGTAACCAAACTCCAGAACTTTTTATAAGTTTCAGTCTGGCAAAACTGAAACTCTTTGCCCATGAAACAACTCTCCATTTCTCCCTGCCCTCAAGTCCCTGGTAACTACCATTCTACTTTCTGTTTCTATGAATCTGACTACTCTAGATACCTCTTATCAGGGGAATTATGTAGTATTTGTCTTTGTGAGTGACTTACTTCACACAGCATAACGTCCTCGCAGTTCATTCAAGTTGTTGCACATGTCAGAATTTCCTTTCTTTTTTAAGGCTGAATAATGTTCCATTGTATGGATATACCACATTTTGTTTATCCATTTATTTAACAATGGATGCTTAGGTTGCTTCCACCTCTCTGCTATTGTGAAAATGCTGCTAAGAGTATGGATGTGGAAATCTCTCTCCGAGACTCTGCTTTCAATTTTTTTTTGGACATACACTCAGGAGTGGAATTACTCAGCTGTATCTTTTCTACTCCTATTAATGTCTAATTTCTAATAACTTTAACATTATGTCTTTACATTTATATTCTTAAATTTGCTATAAAGCAGATAAAGTTGAAAGCCAGATATATAGGAAGACACAGCTAAATATTCTCATGGGCAATTAATATAAAGGATCACAAATAAATTATCAATTAAAAGTGGTTTCTTTTGTCTTTTGGGGGAAGGGTATAATATATCCTATTAAGAATCTAATAAAGTCTATGGAGTTTATCCCAGGAAAAAATACACATGGAAACATGCATCCAAAAATACAGATATGCTTTCAGGAGATTATGAGCCCTTGAAGTCCAGGAGCTTCAAATGTACAGGCTGCATCTTAAAGGCTCCACACCCTGAAAGGCCAGAAACTGAGTTTCAACATTTTAATAAATGCTAAGTACCAGTAAATACCATTCACACTCAAAGGGCCGCATGACTTGGATCTATTTGTGAGTCATTAATCCAATACACCTTAAATTCCACCATTAGCTCTCTCTAGAACCATTTTTTAGATCCCTAACTCATAAAGAATGAAAGCTGTTACTTGTCTTCTACACGAGCCCAAAAGACTGTGCATTTAATGCTGACTGAGGCATGAGAAGGAAACAATAAAAAAGTAAATATGACAAAGGGTCGAATTTGACTCACAAAATCTGTTTCGAGTTTTCCCATTTCTTGTTTGTAGCTTCTCATTCTGTTGCTGTACATCCCTCGACTTTGGGGTGGTATTTCTCGGACTTCTAAATCCATCTGTTCAAGCTAGAAGGAGGAGAGAAAAATGTGATTTAAACCACGTTGTTACTCTTATTTGAACAAATGTTTATGGCTGAAAGGATCTAATTCCAGTTCCTCATTTTTGTAGTTGAGGAACCAGGCTCAGGGTGCTGAATGATCAAATAACACTGAAACTACTTTTACTCTTAATTTTTGTTTAGTTCAACAATTCTGAGTACTTGCCAAGTGACACACATTGTGCTCAAGTACATGCTTTGTTAAAACATACACATTTGGCCAAGCGCAGTGGCTCACGCCCGTCATCCTAACACTTTGGGAGGCCAACGCGGGTGGATCACTTGAGGTCAGGAGTTTGAGACCAGCTTGGGCAACATGGCAAAACCCCGTCTCTGCTAAAAATACCAAATTAGCTGGGCGTGGTGGTGGGCACCTGTAATCCTAGCTGCTCAGAAGGCTGAGGCAGGAGAATAGCTTGAACCTGGGAGGCAGAGGTTGCAGTGAGCTGAGATTGCACCACTGCACTCATTCCAGCCTGGGTGAGAGAGCAAGACTCCATCTCAAAAATAAAATAAAATAAAATAAAAACTAAAATAAAATAAACAAATTAACCCAAACATTCTTAATAATTTGATTTCAATATACTTGGAATAGCCCATCATTCAATCTAACCAGGTTTTGTCTTCTGACCATTAACCTCCACAACTATGGGAAGATAAAGTAAGCTATTCTTTCCCATGGGTAATCCGTGAAACAAGCCAAGCCTTATTTGGTGACCTTTATTCTGGCAGGTGTTTTCTAATTAGGAAAATCACATACCAACCAACATGTGATCTTTACCTTCATCCTAACTCCCAATACTTTATAACCACATTGATATGACATTAAATGGATACAGTAATATGCTAAATTACATATAGCTCAGTGAAATCACAGCAAGGCGCTTTTTTTTTTTTTTATTTTAACAACGTGCTATCAGATGACACTTTGGATACAACACAGAAGAGTTTAATTGGCAGCAATGCAGAAATACTATAAGTTTAGGCACAGGCTTTGAAGCCAGACTCTTACGTTCACATCATAGGCTCTACTACTTATTAGTCATGGAATCTTGAACAGGTTTCTTAATGTCTCTGTGCCTTATTTTTCCCACTTATAAAATAGTATCTTTTTCACAGAGCGGCTGTGAAAATTAAATGAGGCAATTCCTATAAGGTACTTAGAACAGTGTCTCTTACTTGACAATTGCTAGATTAAAATGAACTCTAGTAATGATGATTGCAAGTGATGAAGAACATACAGCAAGCACTATACAAGATAGCAGAAGTGGCTTACTTGTAGTTGTCATTAAAAAATAAAAACCAGGCTGGGCACAGTGGCTCACGCCTGTAATCCTAGCACTTTGGGAGGTCGAGGCAGGTAGATCACCTGAGGTCAGGAGTTTGAGACCAGCCTGACCAACAAGGTGAAATCCCGTCTCCACTAAAAATACCAAAATTAGCTGGGTGTGATGGTGGGTGCCTGCAGTCCCAGCTACTCGGGAGGCTGAGACAGGAGAATTGCTTGAACCTGGGAGGTGGAGGTTGCAGTGAGCCAAGATTGCGTCACTTAACTCCAGCCTGGGCAATAGAGCGAGACTCTATGTCAAAAATGAAAATAAAAACCAGTAACAACAACAAATTGGCCCAGGCCATGTCTGATAAAATCACATGTAGTTTACCTTTTAAAGCTTTCTAATAAGTTCCTTCCAGAACCGTATCAGTTTATCACTAATAAAACCTGTATTCAGGGTTAGTGACTGAAAAACTATAGTAGCATACAGATAAACCAGACAATCACCTTTCAATTAATAGGGCTCAATTTATTATAAAGAAAAAAGATAATTTTAATTAGCCTTGATTTAAATGGTGATAGTTTAAATGATTATGTCTCAACATAAATGAGAAGCATCAATAAATAAAATCATTACTCAGCAAGACAATTATTTAAAACAACTCTCTGAAATCATCAATTATTTAGTTCTAACAAGGTAAACAGGATCATCCGGAAAAATAACTGCAAAAATACATGCAAGCCAAAATCTGAGACTTACGTATATTTTTGTTGAAGATATTTTACATGGATACTTAAAACTAAATTAAAAGTAGGTAAGAAAGAAAAAGGAAACACACAACAAGCACTTAAAATGAAAGCAAGAATGAGGCTAATGTGCACTTGTTCCATGTTATCACAGCATTTATGTGGCCAATGCAGAGTGGGAGAAAAGATCATTGCAAGATGTGTAGTGTCCGAGAGACTAATACAAACCAGATGTTCAGCAGAAACACCATTAATCCCAATAGTCAAATCAAAAAAGTTTTTCTCCCAAGGTCCTCATCAAAAGGGCAGTATGGGCCGGGCAAAGTGGCTCACACCTGTAATCCCAAAACTTTGGGAGGCCAAGGTGGGTGGATCATCTGTGGCCAGGAGTTCAAGACCAGCCTGACTAACATGGTGAAACCCTATAGCTACCAAAAATATAAAATTAGCCGGGCGTGGTGGTGCATGTCTGTAATCCCAGCACTTTGGGAGGCCGAGGCGGGCAGATCACTTGAGGCCAGGAGTTCAAGATCAGCCTGGCTAACATGACAAAACCCCCTCTCTACAAACAAACGAGCAAAATTAGCCAAGTGTGGTATTGCTCGCCTGTAATCCCAGATACTTGGGGCACTGCGGCATGAGAATCGCTTGAGCCCAGGAGGCAGAGGTTGCAGTGAGCCGAGATTGTACCACTGTACTCTGGCCTGGGTGACAGAGTGAGACTCTGTATCAAAAATAAAATAAAAAAGAAAAGCAACACACTCATATAGGGACACGATGCATAGTAACAAGTGAGTCATGCTTGTAGTAGTCGGCTTCTAAAATCCCAAATTAAGACACAATACTTTTAGTCCTTTTTTGCTCCATGTTTTACTAACTTATTTATATAAAAAAGTAGTAGATGAACCAGAGCTCTGGGTTAAGCAAACTAGGAGCAAATATTTACTCTACGACTTAACAGGATTTGGGACCTCCAATAAGTTACTTCATCTTTTTAAGTCTCTGTCTCCCCATCCATAAAATAGGAGTGGTAACAGTGTTGAGAATCACTTGGCCAAGGTTCTCTCATGCTCCTACATGTCTTGCCTGGTATGCCGAGAATACAAGGTCCTGAGCACTCTGTCTGAGCCATTTTTCAGGATTGTGTTTGCAGGGAGCTCAGGGAGAGGAAATAATGTGTCCCCCTGGGACAAACAACAGCCTTGCTTATAGGCTGCTAGAAAGTGGCACATTTTGTAGGCTCTCGTTCCATTCCTCTAAGGCATTCTAATGCTGTTGTAAGCCTACCTACAACATCTAGGCCTGCCTGCATCACCACTGTGGGAATTCAAACTCAGGAACTGATGCAACCAGCCTGAAACACTGGCAACTGCTTTTGTTGTAGATAATAAAAATCTTTTGTATCTGACCTAGGAGTCTCATATCTTCTCTAGTCATCTATGAAACTGTAGCAAGCTCCCTTGAGAGCTTGCAAATAGGAGAAAATGTCAGACCCTTTATCATTTTTGACAAATAATATTGTATCACATGGTTATTGAGAAAATTAAATATTATAAAGCAAGTAGTATTTTTAATCCAGTGTCTGGTATCCAGTATGCCTTTATCCAGCATTAGCTATTTACAGCTGTTATGAAACGTATTATGATGGAATAAAAATTAGAGACAGATATTTAATGAATCACCTTTACTAAGAAGAAAAAAATCCCAAGAAGCTATTAAAATCTCTTCAATTTAAAAACTGACAAATTCTGAATTATAAAATGCTAATCAGCAATGCTTCACATTTCCACAATGTATAAAACAGGCTAGAGGAAGGCATTAGCTGAAATGGCTCTGGCTGTGTGTTAAAATACATTACTGTCTGTACATACCAGTTCTTTCGCTTCTTCAAGCTGTTTCTCCACATTTGCAACCATCTGTTTCTTTTCATCTGAAACAAACAATAATACCAAGAAATTGCTAAAGATACGAATAAATTTAATATTTTAAAACTTCAATGTTTATATGCCTTTCTCTTTTCTGGCCAGTCAGATTACAGAACATAAGGCAAAAGAGCATATCATTCTTTGGTGGGTTCGAAACCACTTCAAGTCACTGATTCTAGGCTATCTAGAAATATATAATCCGATAGAGTACCTAATTATTAAGAGATACCATTTTTAAGAGAAACACATTTTTAAGAGAGACTAAAAATTATGTTGCCCTTTAGGAGAGACTAAGTTAACAAAAGCAGATTTGTGCTGGCCTGAGGAATCTGTGAAGTCATAACTTTAATAAATTGGGAATAACTGATTTGTTAATACAATTTAAAAGTCATATACAAAAACATCACCTAAAACTGGGCAAAAACAATCCTTTAAAAATTGTACTTTCAGTAGCATGGAGAATCAGGTGTAATGGAATAAATATTTGAAGTTAGGACTACTGATTCCAAACTGAAAGCTACTATCTCACTCAACGGTTATGGGATCCTGGGCAAGAAATTTTTCTCTTTTTTTTTTTGAGACTCAGTCTGTACTCTCTAAAATGGAAAAAAAAAATATCTACTGGATTACTTTTAGCTCCAATAAGCTTGATGCAAGTGACATTACTTTAATACTATAAAGTGCTAAGTCTCTGTATGTGGTTTATTTTTCTAATACAATCAAGTTATAACCCAACTGTAATTCCCTTCTCTAGGAGAGAGATGTCCTGGCAGACAATTTCAGAAAGCTTTCCCATACCCTCATTCCAACCAGTCAGCCTATTTGTTCACATACCCTAGTTAAGTTTCATGCAAACCAAATGTATTGAACATCTCTAGTTTTTGTCTGCCTGCATCCTTCTCTTCTCAGGCAACAGCCCCTACTCTCTTCAAAGGCCCCCTTCCTCACCAAGCAGGACAATGAAAATGCTATCTCCATAAAGACTCTGCTTCTTCAGTCACAGTGAGTGACTTGGCAAATGACAGGCATCTAATCCTAGCTGGGCTAATCTTAGTAACTCAATCCTTTGGCCACATCCATCTGGGGGTTGGGTGGTGGGACAGGCATATATGAATCAGGGAGAAGAATCAAAGTTCTAGAGCAAGGGGAAAGTCTTTTCCTCTCTCCTGGTAATGAGAAAATGAGCCTAGAAGCTGCTGGCATCCATTGGTCTAGCTCCAAGGACAAAGCAAGCATGCAATGGCTGAAAATAAATCCTGCATTTAAAATGAAACACAACTGAGAGACACAGAGAGAGAGAGAGAATTAGTTCCTGGCTTGAAATAACTGAAATGGCTTGACTTTATAAAAGCTTGACTTCACCATAGTTTGGTTGCTTGAGCCAAGAACTTTGTTGTTCTTTGTTTAAAACTGGGTTTATGTCACACAGGAGGCTAATGAGATTGACTAACACAACAGACTAGAAAAGTCATGAAGCTTGAAATGGGCACAACACCTACCAGCTGACCAGCCTTCAGAAGGACAACCAATCCTAAGTGGGGAAGCTTTAGTAGAAATTATTTCACTGGCCAGGTGCGGTGGCTCACGCCTGTAATCTCAGCACTTTGGGAGGCTGAGGCAGGCGGATCACAAGGTCAGAAGTTTGAGACCAGACTGGCCAACACAGTGAAACCCCATCTCTACTAAAAATACAAAAAATTAGCTGGGTGTAGTGGCGGGCACCTGTAATCCCAACTACTTGGGAGGCTGAGACAGGAAAACTGCTTGAACCCAGGAGGCAGAGGTTGCAGTGAGCCGAGATTGCGCCACTGGACTCCAGTCCAGGCGACAGTACGGGACTGTATCTCAAAAAAAAAAAAAAAAATTTTTTTTCACTAAGACAATGATTAGATTATTAGTAGATTCTACTAATCCTAACCCTTTCCCTTTGTTATCCACAAACTGTAGAGGGGAAATAGTTGTCACATAAGATGTTTTATGTGTACTCACAATATTTCTCCCTAAGCAAAATATGTGTTTGGGATTAGAATTCCACTTAATTTTCCCTCCTTGAAAAGTTAAATCTACACATCACCAGATTAAATATTTAATAGATGATCCCAAATTTATTTGCTTCTGGGACATTTCAATCCTTTCATCAGTATCCTCACACAGTTACAGTTAGAATAGCACTATATTTTTGTGATAGAGAAAAATACAAAAAAAGACAGGCCTATCTTGGATCAAAAGTGAGATGGTGTATTTACACATCAGGAGGAACATCCTGTTCTCTTTAACGTATTCAGTTGATAGGAAAGTCCATGCCATGGACCTCCAGGACTAATAAGCATCAGTTTTTCTCATTAGCAAAACAAAACAAAGAAAGAAGCCTCTCTTGACCTGTATTCCCCTTTGCTAATATTCCTCTCCTTTCATCACCAGCCAATTTTCTTGAAAGCAAGGGTATAGACTCTGTTTCCCTTCCTCATCTCCCTCTCCACTTCCTGTAAACTAACTACTGCCCCCACCATGCCACTGAAATTACTCTTACTACATTAATAACTCTTCCTTTGCCCAAACTAATAGACATTCTTAGGTCCCGTTTTTATTTAATCTTGTGGCTTCTTACACTTTGCTCCTCCCGTCCTATAACTTTCTCCTCTACTGGCCCCCATGGCACCCTGATATGGTAATTCTCCTGAACGCTCACTCCTGTCTCACGGTCCTCTGCTAGGCATTGTATTTTTCAGGCCATCTTTTAACCGCTGATGTTCCTTGGAGTTCAGTCCTTGCCTTTCTTATGACCATCATCTATGTCCCTGGGCAATTTTATCCATTTTAAAACTATCATATTATGTATTTATGATCCTACATCTTTCTCTCTGATATATTTCCAGGCCTTCAATCCTTTAATCCCAATGCTTATGCCCATCTCCACCAGGCCCACCTGGCAAAGCTCTATGCAAAACTCTCCTCAGAAATCATCACTTCTTTGAAGGCTTTCCTAAACCAACATAAGAGTTAATCACTCCCTTGTACATAAAATACGTATAACTCTTATGTCATCCTAATGATTTATCCCTCACATGAACAACCTTTCAGCTTAGCGGGGCTCTGGGAAGACAAGAGCCATGTCTTAATCATCTTTCTAGTCCTACACTATAATGAACTTGGCATATACAATCCGTTTTCAAAAAATGAAGGTAAGTTAAATAAATAATGCAGAACAGAGCAAGAATTTGCAAAAGAAGCTATGCTACTAACCGCCTTGGTTTCCCTGCCCCCTCTCCCTTTTAATCTTCCTAAAATTTCGCTTTGATGGATCAGTTGAGCTTAGCAGTTAAGGTCCTTGACATTCCAGAGCCAAGCATCCTTTCCAACTTTATTTCCAACTACAAGCTTTCTAGTATGCAGTCTACAGACAGACTGTTCATTGCCACCCAAACAAATCTTGTTTTTTCTTCTCTACATCTTTGTTAAGCTACCATTTAGGGTTCTTTGGCTGAATGCGACAGAAGTGATTCTGGCTAAACTAAGCCAAAAAAGAGAATTTGTTAGAATAATGTGGGGTGGCTCACAGAATCAATGGACAAAAATGAGTCGCCCAGTTTGGGAAAGACAGTATCAGGAGTAGCTCAGCATATCAAGGGAATAGGAACATACAGTCCCTGCTAAAGAAAAGTCTTGAGCAGCTCTATTCTCTTTCCTTGGTTCATCCTGATCAAATTCCTGGCAAAAAGTCTATGAATGTCCTTGCTTGGGTAATACGTTCATCTCTTGACCTACAGAGGGCAGGGCAGTCTGTCAGTTCTATCAAGACTGGAATAACGGGGTTTAAGTAGTTCCTCAATAGGAAATTGAATAGATAGAATGAAAGCTGCTGGGTGCAACAGATGCCCACTGCATCCATGTATGGCAGCCTCTTATAATATAGTCTTTCCCTGTTTCTGTCTGTCCAAACCCCACCTATCCTTCTGGGTGAGCTCCTGAGACATAACCTCATCTCCTTGAATTCCTAGAGTTCTTTGCTTGGCTCTAGGGGGTCCAACGGTCATTAAAAATAAGGTTCTGTAGTTTCCTCTTTATTTATTTATTTATTTTTTGAGATGGACTCTCGCTTTGTCGCCCAGCCTGGAGTGCAGTGGTGCAATCTTGGCTCACTGCAACCTCTGCCTCCCAGGTTCAAGTGGTTCTCCTGCTGCAGCCTCCCGAGTAGCTAGGACTACAGGCATGTGCCACTACACACAGTTGATTTTTGTATTATTAGTAGAACGAGGTTTCACCATGTTGGTCAGGCTCGTCTTAAACTCCTGACCTCCAGTGATTCACCTGCCTCGGCCTCCCAAAGTGCTGGGATTACAGGTGTGAGCCACCGTGCCCAGCCTGCAGTTTCCTCTTCAGGCTCATCTCTGGCTCCTTGAAGGCAGAGACTACTTTTGACAAATCGTGTCCAATCTCTGTATTTAGCATAGAGAGCTGTACATGGTAGGGGCCATTAAGTGCTTACAGAATGAATAATTCAGTCTTAGCACGCCGCAACATACTTATTGCTCACAGAGAAACTGAGGGGAAAAGACTGGGGCAAATCTTCCCATTTGAATGACAAATTTCCCTTTACAAAAAAAAATTAAATTGGGATAGAGGTGGAATTAACACAAAATTCATTTCATCATGGTGCTGTCAGAAATAATGATGGAACTGAGACATTCTTTGACTGGTCCTTATAGTGTTCCTCATATTTTTAAGAAGACAAATCTTAAAAGTGATGATTTAGGGGTAAAGTATGAAGAAGGAAGGAAGGAAGGGAGGGAGGAAGGAAGGAAGGGAGGGAGGGAGGGAGGGAGGAAGGGAGGGAGGGAGGGAGGGAGGGAGGAAGGAAGGAAGGAAGGAAGGAAGGAAACGAAGGAGAGAAGGAGGGAGGGTGGGAGGAAAAGGAAGGAAGGAGGGAGGGAGGGAGGGAAGGAAGGAAGGAAGGAAGGAAATGAAGAAGAGAAGGAGGGAGGGAGGAAAAGAAGGAAGGAAGGAG